GAAGAAAACTCGATCTCACCAAGTGTTCTAGTTTCTTTCTCAATTGCTGTGACACAACACTCTGACCACTACCAACTTGGAGGAAAGGGTTTATTCAGCTTACATCTCCCAGGTCACAGTTCATCAGGGAGCCCAAGGTAAGAACTCAGGGCAGAAACCTGGAGGCGGGAGCTGGAGCACAGGCCATGGAGGAACGCTGCTTACTGACTTGCTCCCCTGGCCCCTGCTCAGCCTGCTTTCTTATGCAACACAGGCCCACCTGCCCAGGGGTGGCACCACCTACAGTGGGCTGGGCCCTCCCACAACACTCAGTAATTAAGGTGCCCCACAGACATGGCCACAGGCCAGTCCTATGGAGGCAGTTCCTACTTGATCCCTCAACCCAGGTGTGTCAAGTTGACACTAAAGCAGTCCAGCACACCAAGACAACTGAACTTTATCAAATCAGAGACTGTCTCCTAGCTCCAAAGCAGACAAGTCCTAGACACTTTTCTAGGGAGAGAGAACTGATGAGCCAATTATGTTAGTCTCTACATTCAAGCCAATATAAGTTTAGACAGTTTCTGGTTACTGCAGCATGGATTAGTTCCTGCAGCATGCATCAGCCCAAACGGATGCCTTCACCTCTTATGATAGTGCATAACTAGTTTTTCAGTCTCCCAGGTAAGGTCATGTACTGCCCCAGAGCAGCTGAACAAGATTTATCATAGGAATTTTGAAGTCCTCTTGTTTCCACAAATGGAAATAAGTGTCCAGAGCCCAAAGAACTTTTGTCCAGAGCCCAATGGGAACTTATTGACTATGAGGATGGCAAAATACTAAATATGGAAGTATTGGTGAATAAACTTCATTTTTCCCTCCCTATTTGTGAGCTCAGGAATCTTTCAGATTCCAGAACTGTCTTAGCCATTACATGACTAAGTGACTGTTACTGCTTGGGAATGGGGAGCCTCAGATTGGAACTTGATAGGCAGTTTCAGGGCAGGGGCTCAGCTCATGTCTGACAATACCTGTTAAATAGCTTCAAGGGTCATATGAGGATGCCAGGCTATTACTGTGAGGTTGGCTATTAGAATTCTGTAAATAGGACTACGGGATATACATAAAGACAGTCTTTTAGTGTAAATGGAACTTTAACTAGTACTTAGTCCGTACTCCAGAGCTATTAGTCTGCTCTTTTAGTTTGTTCCCATCCTCTACCCCCAAAGTGTCCCTAAATAGAGAAGCTTGTTCACCTTTGAAGCTGTCTGAACTGTAGGGAAGCTTATTATCTAATCCAAAGAGGACTGGTCCAAGTGCTGGCAAGAATCGCCTCTCAGCCCGGCTTGTGGGACTTGATGGCATTGCTGGATTCCTTAGAGACTTAGAGGAATGAGGGTCTCTGCAGTTTCTGCTTCTCAAGCAGTAAAATATTCATGCTATTCAGGTGGCTACATAAAACACCCCAAGCACTTTATCCTGAAGGATACCTGTTTGTATGAGGACAAGATATCTTCAAACTGAAGTTTGGATGTTGGGGTAAGAACACCCAAAGCCTTCTCAACAGATTTTTGAGGAGACAGGTCTCACCTGACTGGATACAAAGGGGCAGCTATAGCTGAAGCATAGGACAGCCATCATTTGAATGATTTACCTGAGTTACTATATTAGGAAAAGTGTTTACAGCTTGGGTGGGAGAGAAGGCCACAGATCCCCAGGGTTTCAAGAATGTGGTATCCAGATCTTACTGCCTTGGGGGCTGGTTCTTGGGAAAGTTGTGATGGCTCATGGAGACTAGTGGACTGGGTAGTGGAAAAGGGTAGGGGGAGTACTTTTGAATCTCATTGAGATCCCAGGAGTCCTGATGTAAAGACAAATGGCAGCACACACAGTCTGAATGATGCTTTTGCGTAAGGTCACTGTGTGAGCTTGGTGCTTGGGACTAGGTCCTGAGCTCCAATGCTGAGAATGGTGTAATGGAAGGATAAATGTGTGGATTACTGGAATTGCCAATATACCGAGATGCTTACCTCTGAAGCGTCAAGCTCTATAAAGGGCGCTAGTGGACCACCTCCTTTTGTCCCTCTGGGGCCATATTTCTCTCTGCTGTCCTTTCTAAAACGTCTCTGAAGAAATGTTTTAAAACTAAGAACAGGGATTAGGAGAGTTTACGAGCAGACTGTGGCTCACATTTCAAGAAATGACCTGGTAGCTGCTCAGTGTATGGGACAGAGAGCCTCTGCAGTTCCAAAAATTCTGCAGAAGACCTGGAGGCTTCCTGGAAAGCCATCTGCCTTTAGTCCATCCTTGAAGTCTAGAAGCACTGCTTTCCTCAGTTTACAATCCCCTATTCAGGGGATTCCAATTTGTGGAAAGTGGACATTCAAACCATCACACTTAGAGTCCAATTACTGCTCCCTGTATGGACACATGTGTGGAAAACATCCACTGGGGCTTAGGGTAACTTCCAATGGTTCAACCCTCCAGAGCTTAACTCATTCTCCAGCAGCTGACCATGGTGGGATAGGCTCCTTTGCCACTGGTGAGATTTTCGTAGACTTTTCTCATCCGTGCTAAAATTAACTGACTTTAAGGGCTGGAGAGATGGCTCAGCAGTGAAGAGTACTGACTGGCTATGGGGATGGCTTGTTCCCACAACATGGGGAATTTATAAGCAGTTTATAAAGCTTTTTAAATATAAGATCCCGGACTGTCTACACAGGAAAGCCTCATCAAAAGCCCTTGCAACTGGCACAGGTCCCTGAACTTTTCCATTTTTTAGAATTCATTTCCCTTACACTAACCAATGGGGATGACCTGATTTGGAGGAAGTCCCTGTGCCTTTTCTGGTACACTGCCTCCTGCTCAGTCTTCACCACCTCCATCCTAAGATTTTGCTGAACTACAGGAAATTACCAATACTCATTTTTTTGATTCTAGGACCCTAGTCTATAGGGTGGCACTGTAGCCCAAATTAAGAGTAGGTCTTGGCACCTCAGATAAGGTAATCTGTCTAGGTGATCCCTCTTGTGTGATCTTAATCAGTATTAACTTTCACAACTCCATGTATTCCCCACTATTTGTAACAATGAAATCAGACTGCCCCTCCCTTCAAGCTACAGGTGACTCTCCCCAGTGACATAGTTGCCTTGGAGCTGTCAGATACAGATGGAAGGGTAACTGTAGGGAGATTCAACCATGCATTTATTGGGAAGTCATTAAATTGGAGATTTGAATGCTAGTTCTAGTCATATTTGGCTCCTCTAAGATCAATAAACTGATTGGTTCAAGGTAGACTTTGAGTAAAACCTGCAAGAAATTTCACTCTAGACTTTTTTCATGTCTCCCTGGAAAATGTTCAGAGTATACCAAGTAATTCTTAATGAGCAAGCAAGCTTCTGTCTGGGGTTTGGGAAACCCAAGTCTGGTGGCCCGAACATGTGGTGATCACCTCTCCCTGGACTTGGAGCAGAAGACAAAACAGCAGGGCACGTGGGAGGGATCAACTCCTGTGCTTACAAGGAACGTGGTGAACTGAACTGAGGTAGTGAAGAATCATCAGGACCTCACTACCTCCTAACCCATGTTAGCATTTCCAACCTTCTGCAGGAGACCTGGAGGGGTTCCTGGGAAGCCATCTGCCCTTAGGTCATTAGGCTTCCATAATGGACTGCTCTCCTCAGTTGAGGCTCCCTGCTCAGGGGATTCCAATTTCTGGAAAGTGAACATTAAAACCAATCATAGCGAGAGTCCAATTAGTGTTTCCCATGTGGATGCAGGTGTAGTCATCCACTGGGGCTTGAGTTTCCAATGGCCAACCCTCCAGAGCATAACTCATCCTTCAGCAGCCAACCATGGCCAATAGCTCATTTTCTCTAAGTGGGAATTTGGTAGCCTTTGCTCATCAGTGTGGAAATTAACTGAGTCTAGGGGCTGGAGAGAGGCCTCGGCGGTTAAGAACAGCACTGATGGCTCTTGCAGAGGACCCAGGTTCTATTCTCAGCACCTACCATGGTGACGAACAAAAATCCACAACTCCAGTTCCAAGTGGAATCTGATGCTCACTTCTGACCTCTGCAGGCATTGCATACCACGGGTGCACTTGCATACATGCAGGCAATGCACTCATACACATAAAATTGAGTATCTTGTTCAGCTGTAAGTTCATGTGTGCAACAGCATGTCTAGAAGAGACCGCATTGCACAGCACTCCACTCTTTGCAGCTCTAACATTCATCCTCCCTCCTCTGTAATGTTCTGAACTTTATGGGTTTGGCTGGAGGATCCAGAATGCCTATTTTCAGCTAAACACTCGGTTACTAGTAACTGCACATGTGGTATGGTTGAAACTTCTGATGAACCACTAGACTGCAATAAACTGCTCTGCCCAAGCATGAGATCAGCAGAAATCTGTCAATACCCAGAGCCAAGGGAACAGCTTAAAGTATTCTGTCCCAGCAGGCATGTTAGTCTGAGGGGGAAGGTCCTGTTTTCTCACATAGTTACAAGACAAGAATCTGATTTTATTCAAGTGGTCATTAGTTTATTTGCAAATTAATCACATTGCCAAAAGTATATCAAGCATCTGAGAACTACATAATTGGAATAAAAACTAATTATGAAGAAATTCCTGTCAGGCTGCTCAAATGCCCATGTCCAGCAATACAGAAAGTTGGAGCTCAGAGGCAAGTTCTTCCTTGATATCCAGATCAGACCACCTAGGTGCTCCAGGCTTTCAGTTAGATATGTCTGATGCCCCTGAGAGCTGCGGTTGCTCTCCTGTCTTGGCATTCTGAAAATTCACTGCTGTAGGTGTTCCCATGATGGTCTGAGTTGTGATAGCATCAGGAAAGATACCAGTGTCTGAGAAAGGAAAGATCAGTTGCGTGCACTGTGACGCAGCACTCAAGTTATTTTAGTCACATGACTTGTTAAAAAACGGGCCTCCGTGTGGTGTCAATCATGGTGGGAGGAGAGCAGGATTTGGGGAGAAGGGGGGTTTGCGGGGAATGAGCTGACCTCTACTGGTAATAAAACTCCAGGTTCATTCCATCGTGGATTTCATAGTCTACCAGAGGCACATGGTCCTTAAAAATCATGTACCACTTCTTCAGCACTGTCTTACTCTGAGCGCCAGTCTGGGCTACGATCAGTTTCTTCAAGTCCCCATAGTGTCCTCGGAGTTGCGCTTGACTCACTTTCTTCCCCAGACTGTTACAAATCACCTCGATCATTATGACTGGAGCAACGTCACAACTTCCTCTGCATTAAAAGTCCTATGTTGCGATGGCCACAACCTCTTTCAGCGTCTCACCTAGGATATGCCAAAGGCCTGGGCACGATCAACGGAAGACAACTCGCCTCCTAGCTTTGTGGGGGGGAAGTCTGTCAGCTAACCAGCTCTCACACTTGTGAAGGCCAGAGCACAGCTCCTGTTGATGGGGAGGGGGGAGGCCTGCTTTCTTCTTAACCTTTCTTCTGTAACCCAGACCACGCCCAAGGGATGGAACCACCCACAGTGGGTGTGGATTTCCCCCCGCAGATTCTCTAGCTGCCCAGGGTGAGGGTGTGTGTGGCTATCCCCTCAGATAAACCAATCATATTGCCACAGTAAGGGTGTGGCTTTCGCACTCAAATTAATCAACCTAGATAATCCTCACAGGAATGCTGAGAGGCTGGTCTTCTTGATACCCTTGGATTTTGTCCCTTCAGAGTACTAATCTCACATCCATTCCTTGTCGCTTGGAGCAAAGGAAATTGTAGACTTCAGACTAAAGCCAAAGACCTGGAGGTTGATGCTGACAGGGTCTTCTGTACACTGTGGAAACAGATGTTCATTTCCTAGCAAGGAATCTGCCCATATACATAGTAATGGTCCGTTCTGCGTTAACCTTAGCTCTAGATCTCTTCCAGAAGACTCGCATGCAAGGCTCAGTGAGTTGAAATATGAGAACTGTGGCCCTGTTACTCAAAAATGAAGGAAAGGCAATCTAACACCTTTCAAGATAGAAGGGTGAGGCTAAACGTTAATTGCTTATTTAGATCTGATTTTCTGTAAAGACTAAGTTGAAGGCAGGCCGACTTCCAAGATTTCCAGCTCAGCTCTGAAGAAAGCACATTTAAACTCGGGTCAGTTGCAATATGAATATTTGCAATTATGTTCTAATGGTGGAAGATGTGTGGTGATGGGGACAAAATAGAAACATGGGGTCTGGAGTCAAATCTTTCAGCAATTTCATGTATGTGGGGATGGCCGCATCACCCAGGACGTGGGGAATTTATGAGCAGGTTGTAAAGCTTTTGAAAAAGTGAATCTGAAATGTGCATGGGAAGCCTGAACAAAAGTCCTCGGAACTTAAACGGGTGGCTGGAATTTGATTTTCACTTTTAGAATTCGCTTACACTGGCCAGAGGAATCGGCTGATTCTGAGGACGTCCCAGTGCCCTTCCCTGTACTCTGTTCCTGCTCAGTCTTCAACTCCATCCTGAGATACTACTGAACCTACAGGAAGTTACCAGGATTCACTTTTCACTCTAGGACCCCAGGATGGTATTGCCAGAAACATTCTAGATCTTAATCAGCATTAACCTTCAGAATTCCATGCATTCCCCATAAGGAGACTTCATCTCCCTCAATCTATATGTGACTGCCTAGCTACATGATGTTCTTGGAGATGGCAGATTATACAAGGCAACTGGAGGGGGGCTGGATTCAGAAATGCATTATTAACTGGGAACTCATTAATTTGGAGATTTGTTTTTGTTTTTGGTCTTTCTGCGACAGGGTCTCCCTGTAACACCAGCTGGCCTACAACTTGGCATATAGACCAGACTGGCCATGAATTCAGTGATTCCCCCTCCTCTGCCCCTAGAGTTCTGGGATTAAAGGAGGGCCACCACGCCCGACCTTAATTTTGAGGATTTGAAGGATACTAGTTCTGGTCACTCTTGGCTACTCTAAGACCAATAAACTCCTGGGTTCACCAAGGTTAGACATCAAGTAAAAACTGAAATTTCAAACTACACACCTTAGACTTTTTTTCGTGTCTCCCTAGAAAATGTTCAAACTATACCAGGTAATTCTTAATGAGCATATTTATTTCTAGAGTTTAGGAAATCAAGTATCCTGGGCCAGGCATGTGGTGATCACCTCTCACAGGGAGGCCTTAGAAGGCCTTTCCTTAAGGATCAGCTTTGGACCTCCCCTCCCATTTTCTTGAGCACTAGAAAAGGAGGCATCAAATGTCCCTCCAGGAGACTTAAAATGCCCCGTGAACAGGTGCTTTCCCTTAGGAATTAATCTAACTGTTCTTGTCAATCACTTGGCCAGAAAAACAACCTTGGGAACCCGAGTCAACTGAGGATATGCTGAGCTGAAACCAAATCCTTTAACATCAGTCCATCCTCTGCTTCCTTCCCGATGGCTTCCCCACCGGAGATGGGCACAAGAACCGCCAGAGGAAGGGCAGGCTGGATGGGCTTGGCCTGAAGGAGTTGCTTGAGCTGCAGCAATGCCGAGAGCCAGCACAAATTTCCCTCTGCCACTTCCTGACTCTTCCCTTTGGGAGGAAGCAGCAGCATGAGCCCTCGGGCTCCCAAAAGGTCCTTCTGTGTCTCCAGTGCAACAAGAGCATCATCATGGGGGCCATGGACCACCTTTATACACATGTTGACAGAAACTGTTTGATCCCCTTTGTTCCTCAGTGCCTTAAAAACGGTGAGTGTCTGAAACTTGCCAGTACTGCTGTGTGTGTCAGCCACCAAGCTAAGGTCTCCTGTGAACTTGGCCTTCAGCCAGTTGACTAGAATTCTGCCAGGACTCCCTGGAATCTGCTCTTCATCAGGCAAGGCCAGAAGTAGTTTCCAGAACATCGTGTCATTCTTCCCGGGAAGATTCTCGGCTACCAAGGACGCCAGGTCCAGGGGAGTCCAAGCAGCTCTGCTCCGCAGCTGCCTGTGAAAGTGCTGAACCTTCATCTGATGAGTCGTCTTGTTTCTGAGCCTCCTTAACTGGGTACAGGAGACGCCCACTTTCCCTGCATGGCCCAAGTCCAGGAGACCCTTGGCTAAGTTTTCCTCAGCAATGGGGCACTCCGCACTGGGCAGCAATGCACGTAGCCGGTCGTTCACGTCCACACAGCGAGGCGCTGCAGGGAAGGCCCGCACCTGCTCCCTGAGTGCCTTCCTTGCGGCAACAGCTTCCCTCCAGCGCTGTACATGCTTGGAGATGCACTGAAGTTCCTGGATTGTCTCTCTTGCAGTCTGGAATAATCCCTCAGCGAGAAACTCATCTACCACATGAGCATAGACATCCTCAGAACAGCGAGCCATGCGGACCCTCTGGTCTGCCTCCACCGCCCTCTTGAACTCCTGGGAGCAGGTTTCCCACACACACTCTATCACCCAGGCTTCTGTCAGCTCTGCAGCCAGGCTCCGGCCCAGCCGAGTCATCACGAGCTCTTCCTCTTGCTTTAACCGTTCCTCTTCAGCCCGTCGCTCTTCCTCTCTTCTCTGCCTTTCCACAGCCATTTCTTCAGCTGCAACGTGTCTCAACATGCCTGTGGTGGCAGCTGTCATCAGATCCTCCACAGCAGCATTGGAAACACCCAGATCCGCAGCTACATAGGCTGCCCCGGCAGTGCAGACATCCTCACAGTCCCCTTGTAGAGCTTCCTCTAGGAGCTCGTCCACCACTAGCATCAGGGCCTCATCCGAGTACACAGGCACAAGCTTCGGGGGTAGGGGCTCAGGCTGCGTGGAAGGCTGGAGGACGGTGGGGGTCACGGCTGTGGTCGGTGGTGGGTCACGAAGTACGAAGGAGAATGCAGGCAGAGGCCGTGGAGGCTGAGTCGGCAGTGGCACACCCAGCCCTACTCCATTCACCGCTGGTCTCCCACCACCTGACCTCTGAGTGCCGACGGACACCTCTGTAGCCGTGGTCTCTCCGATGTACTTGTTCTGGGAGTTGAAGCTGCACATAGGGGTGTGTCGGGGAACTGGAGGCAGTGGCCCTCCGTTCACAACCTCCCCAACGGACACTGTCAGCTTCCTGGCAACACACATGGACTTCCTGGCCTTGGAGGATCCCTCTGGTTCCACGAGTGCCGACCGCTTCCACTCAACACACCCTTCAGCAACAGTGAGGCCATGGTCCCTGAGGAAGTCTGTTGCCTCTTGACAGTCTCTGAACAGCAGCATCCGCACCACAGCATCCAGCGGGAACAGGGTAGATAGTCCTGGGCTCGCAGTGTATGCGATGTTGAGTGCCCGCAGGGCGCCCTTACGGATCTGATTAAAGTAACCGTGTAAGAGGCAGGCATTCAGGTAGGAAGCTGACTGGACCAGCTTGAAAAATCTCACAAAGTTATTGCTGTTGAGCGCAGCAAAAGCCTGGAGGGCAAAGTCCACCTCCGGGGAGGTTCTCACATCAGGGTGGAACTGGTGCACTTCTCCCAAGATGTCTCCTCTGTTCAGATGGAGCAGAACGCTGTAGCCCTGGAACTCTGCTTCGCGGGCACAGAAGACACCCTTGTTCCTCAGGTCCCGGTACATTTCCTTGAGACTCTGTAGGCACTTGGTCATGTTCTCAAGGTTGAGCTTGGCATCAAAGGAAGACCGGGGCTCCTCACACATGAAGTGGGCACAATGGATGTGAAATCGGGTACACTTCTCCATCAGGGACACCGTCAGGGGGTCACACAGGTGCTGCTGTGTGATGTCCTTTCGTAAGCCCCTTGTGCGGTTCCACAGGAAGTCATACCAGTCCCTCGGGCCGCCTGCCTCTCGGTCCATGACCTGGGTCACCAGGTAGTCCATGGTCCTGCTGAGGACTGGGGAGGGCCTCAGCTCATGGGGCAGGGGCTCTTCCTGATCAGCAGAGGGCCTGCTGTACTCCTTCACGGCTGCCCCATGGGCCACGTGGTCAGTCCCGGGCACCACTTCAAACACACTCAGCTGACCCCGGATCTCCCGCATGTACCTCTCCTTCTCGGGACACATGTCAGGGCATGTCCCAACAACTGCTCTCGCCCTGTGCAGATCGGTCTTCACCCGAGCTTGTCGCATCATGCGATCTCTCTGGTCCAGCAGGCGGTACTTCTCTTCAGGCGTCTCAGCCACAGTCCCTATCATCGTGATGAGAGGTGACCCAGGGCCCTCAGAGCCAGAGTCAAAACGGTCTCCTTCAAACTGGTGGGCTCCGGGGGGACTGCTGTACTTAGTGAATACACCTGGG